TTCAAAACATTTCTATCTCCTTTCGAGCGGTTTGCTCCTTGTTTTCACATACTAAGTTCACCTTCGAGATTCTAGTGTCTTTCGAGCGGCTTGGTCCTTGTTCCGACATTCTACTTCGTTTCGAGCGGTTCGGTCCTTGTATTGAAATTCTGAGGTCTCTTTCGAAATTCTCTAATTAGTCTCCTTCGAGCGGCTTGCTCCTTCTTCTGGAAGTCTCTAATTCCGTTCGAGCCGCTTGCTCCTTGTTTTCAAGTTCCCTAGTCTCTTTCGAAACTTTCTAGTCTCTTTCGAAAGGTTTGCTCCGGGTTCTGACATTCGCTAGTTCGTTTCGAGCGTTTTGCTCCTTGTTTTCAAGGTCTCTACTCTCTGTCGAAATTATCTAGTCTCCTTCGGGCGTTGCCTCTTGTTTTCGAAATGTCTAACTCCCTCTGGAGCGGTTTGCTGCTTGTTTGCAATGTCTCTAGTCTCTTTCGACAATCTTTGGTCTCTTTCGAGCGGTTTGCTCCTTCTGCTGAAATTCTCAAATTCCTTTCGAGCGGTTTGCTGCTTGGTTTCAAACTCTTCAGTTTCCAATCGTTTTTTCGCTATTCTCTAGTCTCTTTTGATCGGCGTGCTCCTTGTTTCGAATTCTCTCGTCTCCGTCGAAGTTCTCTCGTCCCTGTTGAGCGGTTTGCTCGTTCTTCTGAAATTCTCTAGTTCCTTTCGAGCGGTTTGCCCTTTCTTCTGACATGTTCTAGTTCATTTCAAGCGGTTTGCTCCTGATTTTAACAACCTCTAGTCTCTTTCGAAGTTCTCGAGTCTCTTTCGAGCGGGGTGCTCCTTCTTCTGAAATTCTCTAGTTCCCCTCGAGCTGCTTGCTCCTTGTTGTTACAGTCTCTAGCCTCCGTCGAAATTATCTAGTGTCTCTCGGCGGTTTGCTTTTCGTGCTCGAAATTTCTATTTCCCTTTGGAGCGGTTTACTCCTTGTTTTCGACTTCTTTAGTCTCTATCGAATTTCTCTAGACCCTCGCTCCTGGTTTTCAACTTCTTTAGTCTCTTTCGACGTTCTTTAGTCTGTTCCGAAATTCTCTGGTCCCTTTCGAGCAGTTTGCTCCTTGGCTTCAATTGCTTTAATCTCTCGCGAAATTTTTCAGTCTCAGCCGAGCGTTTTGCCCCGTGTTCTGAAATTCTTTAGTTCCTTTCGAAGTTTTCTAGTCTCTAAACCCTCTAGTCTCTTTCGAGCGGTTTGCGCCTTGTCCGGACATCATCTAGTCCCTCTCGGGCTGGTTGCACCGTTTTTAAATTCTCTAGTATCTGTCGAAGTTCTCTAGTCTCTCTCGAGCGGTGTGCCTCTTGTTCGCGAAATTTATTTCTAAGTCCCTTTGGAGCGGTTTGCTCCTTGTTTTCAATTTCTCTAGTCTCTTTCGAGCGGTTTGCTCCATGTGTTGAGATTCTCTAGTTTCTTTCGAAATTCCCTAATATCTTGCGAAAGTTTTGCCCCCTCTTCTGAAATTCTCTAGTTCCTTTCGACCGGTTTGCTCCTTGTTTCCAAATTCTCGAGTTTTTTTTCGAAAATCTCTAGTCTCTTCCGGGCCGGTTTCTCCTTGTTCTGAAATTGTGTAGTTACAGTTCCGTTCGAGCTGTTTGCTCCTTGTTCTAGTCTCTTTGGAGCGGTTTGTTCTTTCCTTGTTTTCAGTTTCTCTAATCTCTTTCGACGCTCTCTAGCCTCTTCCGAGCGGTTTGATCCTTGTTCTGAAAATCTCTAGTTCCTTCCCAAGGGTTTGCTCCCTGTTTTCAAGCTCAAGCTCTCAAATCTCTTTCGGAATTCTCTAGTCTCTTTCGAGCGGTTTGCTCTTTCTTCTGAAATTCTCTGGTTCGTTTCGAGCGGCTTGCCCCTCGTTCTCAACGTCTCTGGTCTTGATCGAGATACTCTAGTCTCTTTCGAGCGGCTTGCTTCTTGCACTCAAATACTCTAGCCTCTTTCGAAATTTGCTAGTATCTACCGATCGGCTTGCTTTTTTCTGAAAGCCTCTAGCTCCTTTCGAGCGGCTTGCTCTTTGTTTCCAAATTCTCAAGTATCTTTCGAAATTCTCTAGTCTCTTTCGAGCGGTTTGCCGCTCGTTCTGAAATTCCTTTCGAGCGGTTTGCTTCTTGGCTTCAAATTCTCTAGCCTCTTTCGAAAGTCTCTAGTCTCTGTCGAGCGTTTTTGCTCCTTCTTCTGAACTTCTCTAGTACCATTCGAGCGGTTTGCTCCTTCTTCTGACATTCTCTGGTTGCGGTCGAGCGGTTTGCTCTCTTTTTTTTCAAATTTTCTAGTCTGCTGCGAAATCATCTAGTCTTTTTCGCCCGGTTCGCTTCTTCTTCTTCTTCTGAAACTATCTACTTCCTTTCGCGCGGTTTGCTCCTTGTTTTCAGCTTCTCTAATCTCTGTCGAAATTCTCCAGTCTCTTTCGAGCGGTTTGCTTCTTGTTCTGACATTCTCTAGTTCCTTTTGAGTGGTTTGCTCCTTGCTTCTAAATTCTGAAGTCTTTCGAAGTTCTCTAGTCTCTGTCGAGCGGTTTGTTCCTCGTTATCGAAATTTCTAACTCCCCGTGTAGCGGCTTGCTTCTTGTTTTCAAAGTCTCTAGTCTCCAATCTCTTTCGAGCGTTTTGCTCCTTCTTCCAAAATTCTCTACTTACTTGCGAGCGGTTTGCTTCTTGTTTTCAAGTTTCTGGAAATTTCTTTCGAAATTCTCTAGTTCCTTTCGAGCGGTGTGCTCCTTCTTCTGACATTCTCTAGCTCCTTTCGAGCGGTTTGCTCCTTGTTCTGACATGGCTAGTTCTTTTCGAACGGTTTGCTCCTCGTTTTTCTGCCTCCCTAGTCTCTTTCGAAAGTCTCTAGTCTCCTTCGAGCAGCTTGCTCCTTGTTCTGGAGCGGTTTGCTGCTTGTTTCAAGCTCTTCAGTCTCTAGTCTCCGTGTCGAATTCTCTAGTTCCTTTCTAGCGGCTTGCTGCTTGTTTCCAAGTTCTCTAATTCCGAATCGAAACTCCATTTTTTGCGAAAGTTGTTTTTCTTCTGAAATTCTCCAGTTCCTTTTGAGCGGTTCGCTCCTTGTTTCCAACTTCTCTAGTCTCTGTCGAAATACTGTAGTCACTTCCTGGACGGTTTCCCCTTGTTCTGAAATTGTCTAGTTCCCTCCGAGCGGTTTGCTCCTTGTTTTCAATTTCTCTAGTCCGAGTCGAGGCCAGTCCTTCATAATAAGTTGGAATCTGGATTTTACACGAGCTTGATGGTGAGCCTCTGGCACCAACTTCATTGAGATTTCGGTTTGCAATGATGCCAAGTAAAAACCTTCCTTGTTATTTTGCCTGCTGCGCCTTCGCATTAGCTGCTGCACATCGAGCGGTTTGTTCTTTCCTTGTTTTCAGTTTCTCTAATCTCTTTCGACATTCTCTAGCCTCTTTCGAGCCGTTTGCTCCGTGTTCTGAAATTCTCTAATACCTTCCCAGCGGTTTGCTCCTTGTTTTCAAATCCTCTAGTCTCGCTCGAACTTCGTAAATCTTTTTCGAGCGGTTTACTCCTTGTTTTTCAAACTCTCTAGTCTCCGTTGAAATTCTCTAGTGTCTTTCGAGCGCTATGCTCCCTCTCCTGAAATTCTCTGGTTCCTTTGGAGCGGATTGCTGGCTGTTCTCAATTTCTCCAGTCTCTTTCGAAATTGTCCAATCCAATCTCTATCGAAATACTCTAGTCTCTTTCGAGCGTCTTGCTCCTTGTATTCAAACTCCCCAGTCCCTCTCGAAATGCGCAATTCTCTTTCGAGCGTTTTGCTCCTTCTGAAAGTCTCTAACTCCTTTCGAGCGGTTTGCTCCTTTTCCGGAGTTCTCTAGTCTCTTCCGGGCGGCTTGTTCCTTGTGTTTGAACTCTCTAGTCTCTGTTGAAATCCTCTCCTTTCGAACGGAATGCTCTTTCGAGCAGTTTGCCGTTTTGATCTCAATTTAGCTACCCTCTTCCAGGCGGTTTGCCCCTTTTATGAAGCTTCTCTTGTTCCTTCCGAGTGGTTTGCTCTTTGTTTTCAAGCTCTCTAGTCTCGCTCGAACTTCGTTAGTCTCTTTCGAGCGGTTTGCTCCTTGTTTTCAAACTCTCCAATCTTGATTGAAATTCTCTAGTGTCTTTCGAGCGGTTTGCTCCTTTGTCTGAAATTCTCTAATTCCTTTGGGGCGGATTGCTTGCTGTTCTCAACTTCTCCAGTCTCTTCCCTTGTCTTCAAATTTATCAAGTCTCTTTCGGCGTTCTCTAGTCTCTTTCGAGCGGTTTGCTCCTTGTTCTGAAATTCTCTAGTTCCTTTCGAGCGGCTTGCTCCTTGCTTTCTAAAGCTCTCGTCTTATTCGATATTTTTTAGTCTCTTTCGAGCGGCTTGCTCCTTGATGTGAAATTCTCTAGTTCCTTTCGGGCGCTTTGCTCCTTGTTTTCAGACTCTCTAGTCTCTCTCGAAATTCCCTGGTTTCTTTTGGGCGGTTTGTTTCTTCTTCTTCTTCTGAAATTATCTAATTCCTTTCCAGCAGTTTGCTCCTTGTTTGCAAATTCTCTAGTCTCTTTCGACGTTTTCTAGTCTCTTTCGAGCGGTTTGCTCCTTGTTCTGATTACGGCTATGTAATTGCAAGAGTTAGGAATTGGGTCTTGGAGGTTTGTTGCAGGGTCTTAATTTGGTTAAATAGGGGGGCATAATGATTCAGCAGCCATGGCTGAAGCTTTTGCGATCTAAACCCCAGAACGCTCAATGCCCTAGGGCCCACGGGACGAAAAGCATTCCCGTAACCCGAAGTCCTGCATGCTACACCCTGCACCCCAAGCAAGGAAAAAAAAAACTTTGGTTTAAAGAAACCACCTAAGAATCAAATCATGGAACTCGCTTGGAAGGCGGGATCCTTCCGATTGAGATACTTCCTCTCTTTTGCATATTCCGTATCTAACACTACCCTGAAATACCAAATAGAAAAAGTCCGAAAGCTTCACGCAAACCTCAAAAGCCCGGGCTGCGGCGCCTCTTGGAGGTTTTTCAGCAGCCACCAGTGGTACCTTAGCTCCGGCTCGAGCTTCGAGGTGTTATCGGCTTTAGATTGATAGGGTTTACGCTTAGGTTTACGACTTAGAGCCACGGGTTTACAGGGTTGGGGCCTGCAGGGTTCATCTAAGCAGAATCTCCCACTTTACGGGGTTCGGACTTTGTTCAGGCTCAGGGAGTCCTGGCTCGATGTGGGGCTGCGTCAACACTGCGGATTTTTCCAGCGAGCATGTTGTGAGATGGTGGTAATGGTGCATTGATGCTTAGATTGGGGTCTGGACGGGGCTGGGATTTAGGTGAGATGGGGGTGATTGAGCACCTGCCGGAAAGTGACGTCGTGACACTGTGCACCAATAGCATCATGCACAAAGCCAACATAGTTACTCACCACCGTCATGTTCATCAACACCACCACACCCATCAGAATTGCTGTCACCATAGCATCCCCATCCACAGCATCACTATCCACACAGACACAACATGCATAGACCATGTGTGGTGGTAAGGATGATATCAACCACGAAAGTAGCAGTAGCGATCATCGACATCATCATCTTCTTTCTCACGATCATTGTCATAACCATGTCACAGCTGTCAGTAGATGATGCTGTTGCTATTTGCTGTTACAATCATGTAGCACGGGCACTGCTGGGCATCAGCACCTCGACTGTTAGCTTAGCAGGCATCCAAACCACCCTAGATTGCGCGCCGCTTCTGTTTGTCTGGCCAGACTGCGTAGGCAGTGGGTGGGCTCAGCGAGCTTTTACAAAACACCCATCTAAACCTCAACTCTGAACTGAGTCGCAACCCTGAACCCTGAACAGCCGAAGCCCAAACCCTGCTCAAGTGACGCTAAACCCTGAACCCCGAAACCCAAAACCCAAATCCTGCTCGTAAAGACAAGGCTCCATGAGCTTGCGACGAGCCGGCCGAAGGGGATTCCTTCTTCCCAGCCTTGAAACTTCGAAGTATGGGCCCTAATGACCTACTTGTTGAGGGTTCACCCGGTTTGGGGTCTAGAGTCCACAGGGTTTATGGTTTTACTCATGCTGACATCGAGTTTAAGGCTTAAGGTGTTGACACACGGCCCAGAAACTACATCCTAAGCATCAAGCACAGCCCTGAAACACGCTTTCAACAGCCACCTTGTGCGGCCCTTGCTGGAAGATCTGAAGCCGGGGAAGCTTAAGCTTAAACCCTGTAATACAGCCGAGATCCTGCCCCCCCTGTAGACGCCCCTATCAACCAAACCCGGTGAGCCAACCGTCCCAGCAGCCTTACACGCTACAGCACCTCACTAAATCCGCGACACCCTGAAACCAATGCCGATCAATGCCTGTAACACACAACCCTACACTTACACACTCGTAAACGTCGTAAACACCACATACATAGGCATCTTATTATTACTTCTCTCGCTCAGTGCTCTACATTAGGTTGCATGGGCTTATCGTGAGGCGATGCTGGTGCCACGTTTTGCTTCCACCGGTTTGTCTGGGTTGCGAGTCAGGGCCAGGCAGGGTGACTCGTTTTTGCCAGCCGGCTGTAGCTTTTCATGAGCTCCTCAGCAAGGGTGACCAGCTCGACCATATCGCGATTGACGCTGGAGTCTTCCTGGCAACAACATCCCATGCGCCGTTACTTTCGCATACATACCGAGGCCCCTCTTGTTGGGTAAGTAGCGCATCGTGGTAAGACTATACTACAAAGTCTCCAGCATGGGAAGCTTTGTATTTTGTGCTGAAGGCTTCTGTAAAGTCGTTGAAGCCATATCCCATGATGAAGCTGCTTTGAAGCCCCTTCAGCGCCCTATATCATACGTTCCAATGGTCCCTGCAATACATCCCTGCAAATCTGTCCATCAAGCCGCCAGCAAAACCCACATGAGCTTGATGGGGCTGTGGAGATAGAACTCTAGACACCCTCTGGCTACTTCCCCCACTCCGGCAGATGAAGAGTAAAGCTTAGGCTCCAAAACCCAAGCCCGAAGTCCTAGAGGACTTAGAAAGTTTTCTGGGGACTGAACGGAGCCAGACAGGGCCTCGACAAGTAGGATACAGATGTGGGGGTACATGGTACTTCAAGTTAAGGTTCGACTATCAGGAGATATGAGTCTCTGTAGTACTGATCATTCATTCTATGTTTGGGGGGGTCAACCAAGCCAAACGGGGTTCAAGGTGTGGTTTAGGATTTGGGATTAGGGTCTCAGGTTGAGGATTTAGGATGTCTTGGCGTCTAGGGCCTTGGACGGTTTAGGGCCAGAGTTCAGAGTTTAAGGTTTGGGGTTTTGTTGCAAGTTGCACTAGCTGCGGCCGCAGCCGAGGCCTGAAAGCAATCCGTAGATGAATGTTGGGCTCGTGGGTTGTAAGAACTATGATTTGGGGATCTAGTCTAGTCGGCTTCGGACTACATTCAAACCCCCTCTGGCCCTTCTGCAATGTTTTTGAAGCTGCCGGGCTTGTGGGCATGCGTCTCATGCAAAACCCTACCCTGAACAGCTTTGTCCTGCAACCCCGTAGCCTGCGCACACCGCAATGCGACAGAATCATGCCCAGATTGCGCGCTCCGTTCGATCATCCGCACCTTCGATCAAAGCCTGGAGGTCATGTGCGACTGTGTCTCGGGGCAAGTGCCCTTGAGCGGGTCTCTAAGAGGCTCAGAAGGCTCTCATAAGATTGCATGAGGAGATTCAGGCAGAGGGTTCGAGCTTTATGCAAAACCCCAAACCCCAACACTCCTTCGGACATGAATTTCTAATCTTTAGGGACCGGTCTTCTCCGACTCGCCATACGACAGAACCCGAAGGTGGAATTGCTGCGACAAGCAGCGATCTGGAACCAAGATGGCATTGGCTTTCCACTCCAGAAGCCCTAAACCTTGATCCCGAACCCCTAAGCTCCAAACCTTAGCCCCTTGCCAAACCCGACTCCCAAACCTTAACACAATGTATAAAATCATATACGAAAAATGTGTGTCTGTGTGTCCTTATAGATATACACATATGCATACATGTATGTGTGTATGCGTATTATACGTGCCTATATTACATTATACGATATAAACACGATACTCCGAGGCCGACCTCGAGACGAGAAAGGGCCAAGACCAGCAAAGCCGCCGCTTGCGCCGGTCGGCAGTCGCCTGCCTCCGAACGGGTTTACGGTTGAAGGGGTTTAGAGGTTTAGGGTTCAGAGTTGAAGGGGTGCAGTCTTACGGTCTTGGGTTCAGGTTTCAAGGCTTGGGTTTACTTTGGGTCCTGGTCAACGTACGTAGTCTTGAAGCCAACACCGAGGATTGGGATAACCAGCATTCTTAGGAATTGACAGTTGTGGCCGGGCTCTAGGATTTGGGGCTGTTGGTTTGGGCTCCAGCGTTGAGGCTTCGTGGTTTAGAGTCTTGTGGTTCAAGGGTCTGGCAGCAGAACGTGACAGGGCCTAAGTTCTTCCAAACTTGCGGCTCAGGGCTATAACCTTGCGCTTGCGGGGCTTGGCGGAGGGTATATTAGGGTTTAGGGTTTAGGGGTTTAGGGTTAAGGGATGTTGGATCTAGATGACACGGCTTCGACTCCAGCAGCACTCTCCAGTCCACGAGCCATTGCTGGGTTCATGCCCATATGCAGTAAGCCTAAAAGGATGCAACGTGCTGATTTTGAAAACCCGAATGCTAGAATCCGAAGGTGCTGTCGAATCACCCAAACCTTAGTTATGAAATCCACAGCCTCCGTGTCGAAGATCTCCAGAGCAAGCAACCTGGAGATGAAACGATTCGTCCTAAGGCGAGGGCTCAGAAATCCGAAGCGCTGAGACCAAGGCAAAGCTTTCACAAACCCAGAAGCACTCTAGCCTGAGACCCTACACCCTAATAGCTACTAACACCAAACCCTGCACCCGGGACACTCTCGCGACCCTATTTCCCAAGATGTTACGAAATCCAAACCACTCCAGACAAAGAGCAGCTATACTGCTATATACAGACTACAAGACTCTTTTCTACTCTATTCTAGCAGGACAACCGAAATTAAACAAAATTTTATTGCGTATTATCAATACCATACTACAGCACAGTAGAAGAGAGTAGGCTGTTGGCCCCTATGCCTGTCGGGGTGTCGGCGTGTCGGTGCAGGGCTTGGGGCCAGAACTGCATAATTAGTTCTTAGGGTCTTAGGGCCCTGAGCACTTAGTGTGCAAAGTTCAGGGTGCACGGGCTGCGGGTTTAGCGCTAGGGTCAAGCGCCCCTATGCTTTCAAGGATTTTGCACACAGGCTATATGACTAGATGGCCTTAGTGCCAGAAGTGCTTCGGGCGTAGATTTATTGCAGGTTGTGTTGTAGGAAATTCAATCCGAGCCAGAAAGTTTTTTTGCGTATATTCTTACGCATGTTTGAAGTTGTCGTCTCTGATTCATTTCCGTCAGACATTTCTATCAAACGCTCTCCCAATGACTACCTTAGGCCCGAACCGGCCAATCACCGCCAGGGTGCAAGAGTCGGCGACCGACGCCGAAATGGTGTCCACTATTCTTCCTTTCTGCCTGCAGTAGTCGTAGTAGCAGCAGTAGGCGTCGTCGTGCTGTTGCTGGTCGTGGTGGTAGTGGTGGTAGAGAGTGGTACTAGCAGTACCAGCTGTCGTGGTGGTGGCGGCGGCGGTGGTGGTGGTGGTTGTGGCGGCGGTGGTGGTGGTTTTGTGGGGGTGAGGGTGGGGGGGTCTTGGTGGTGGTGGTGGTGGTGGTGGTGGTGGTGGTGGTGGTGCTGCTGCTGCTGCTGCTGCTGCTGCTGCTGGGAAGGGGGGGGCGGCGGCGGTGGGGGTGGCGCGATGAGCGCGCAGCACAGGTTGTGGCCAGTTGTTTCGGGCTTTTTGTTGGCAAGGTGTGGGGGTCTCCATTTGCAAGCAAGGAGCCGACTGTAGCAACGCGGCGAGGGAGTCCCAGGAGCGAAAGGTAGCTGTAAAGCTGGTAGGTGGACTAACGCGAGAATTCTCAACATCCATCTGCACCTCGATGTCGTCGTCCTCATTGTCCTGCCCATCCTCGTCGATCGCCTCTTCAGGCAAGTCGTCGAGAAGGTTGATCGCATCCATGCACACGTCTCTTCCCAGCTTTGGTTGTGCTGACTGCGCTGACTGCTGACTCTCCCTGAGCTGGGGCATGGCTTTCGCCAGCCTCTTGGAGAGTGGCTCGGCCACTGGTGGAACCGCCCCTGCTTTTGCAGGGGTGGCAGACTTCACGGATTCCAGAGACAGCCGTGGACCATTGCTTCGAAGATCGGATTTGGGGGCCTCGGGCGGTTGCAAATCCTGGCCCTGGCGATCCAAGCCATGGAGCTGCTGCTCCAGCTGCGTATGTCTTTGAAGAAGTCGTTGGATTTCACGACCTTGTTCTTCAATCGCCGCCCTCAGCTGCTGGATGGTCTCAAGGCTTTCATCAGCCATTGCTCATCGAGGAGTCTCTCCACCTAGCTCACCTCACGGAGCAATTTGTGAAGCGGATGGCTCATCCTGACATGCCAGGAGGCCATACTCCGGATTGGATTTTGGATCGTTGCGGCATGTGTTCCATACAGGATCATACAGGTTACGAATGCCTGACAACTAAGAGAGGTCAGTCATATTGGAGCGATCATGGGATGCTACAGTACTGCTAACCCCACAGCTGCTTGATCTTTCAGACATGCACAAGGCTCGGCCTCGGCATGGCGCATGCAAGCGAAGTTCATCGCACGCAGCTGTCGTCCGCCGACCGCTCTTGATTTTGCCATGCTCAGCCGGTGCCGCAAACTCAGGGAAAGCATGCCTTGGTCCAGTCAAAACAGTCCGCACGAAACATGTGACTGCATTGTCTGCTTGTAGACTACGGCATCCTGCGGCCCAGGAACACGTAACCGAGACAGTCCTCCGGGTGCGTCCTAGGTTGCCAGACGCATTCACAAAGTTCTCGCATCCCAAGCAGAGAGAGAGTCGGATCCCTTTGCATGTTCGTATCTCCCTGCCCCGAGTCATCCGTGCATGCTCAGGGCAAGAGGCAGTTCGCCGGGATGCCTCTGAAAGGGCTGCGCCTGGTACGACTTGAACAGCAGGCGTCATTGGGTGCGGGTACGGAAAGGTCGAGTAGTAAAAATGAAGACCGCGACCGGCAAAGAGCTAGTTGCAGGATCTGCCTTGCCTGCGCCACCCGCGATGCACTCAAAGCCTTCAAGTCCTGGCGAAGTGTCGACACCAGCTTTCTGGGAAAAGGCGGCTATGCCATCATGCAGCCATCATGGCTCCTGTGCCATGGCCCCTGCTTCAGGGCCTGAACAAACATCGGAGCTCACTGCAAGCTTGCGGCGGCAGCTCACACAGCTTGCCTGTTGAGGCGTCTGAGGGCTCTGCCAGCCTCGCCGCGCGGCTCACTGAGCAGCCAGTCCTCGAGCGGACTCATGGCCACCTTGGCCGCGCTTTTGGGGCTTTCGGTCCTCCGGTTTATGTTTAGAAGCCTCTTGGGCTGCATGTGGGGCAGTTCAAGGCTGGGAGCCTGCAGGTAGCAGGCTGACAGGATCTTCATGTTGGTCTGCTTCCACTTGCCTTCGCACGAGAGGTTCCAAAGCGATGGGCCATGAAGCCGTAGACAGGTTTGCTGCCAGGGAACGGGGAAGGTGACGCACCTGCCTCAGAGGAATAAGAACACCACCGGATAAAACCTGCAAGCGAAACTTATGGACCTGGTACGTGGGTCCGCTCACTGCCCGCTGCCCCGTGAAGAACTGCATGAACTTGCTTCTCCGAGTTTAGCTACGGTGCGCCACCCTTCGGCAAGCTTAGCAGAACCGACGCCCCCCCCCCCCCCCAAATACACGACACGCAACACTCCGCTGGCTCCAAGTGGCTTTTTCATCAGCTTCAGGATCAGCCGGTGCACGGGGGAGCCGGCTGACTTTTGCAGCCCTCGTGCGGATGTTCCATGGCTTGCCGCGAAACGTCCAATTGGCACAGGCTCCGGGAGCCCGGCGTTTCAGGATGAAGGAGGCCCGGTACTGAACAAGATACTTTCGCACGCGGTCGGGGCCTCGGTGCTCGTGCATGCCTACCTAATCCTGGAGGGATGTGCAGCGCAACGCGCTGGGCATTCGGTAGACTCCCCTAGCGAAATTTTCAGCTCAGGTACAGGTTTTGCAGAGCATGTGAAGCAGCTCCAACAGGCGAGCATTGCCACATTCCTGGCAGAAGCGCATGGCGATGCTTTCTCGGGCCGAGAAGCATCTCCCCTTTGAAGATCCGTTTGATCAAGCTGCCGCGGTTGGAGACGCAACTAGAAACAACATTTGGGCTGTTAGAAGGTGGCGCTGCTTCGATGAGGCTACAAGCACGAGAAATCCCTCAGGAAGAGCACCTCTCTATCTCTCTCTCACAAACGGATTCAAGCAAAACACAGCGATCGCTATGTGCGTGTATCTACAATGAACTGACATGCGGGAAGTGGGGATACCGAAACAACTACAAGGACTTCACATGCATCGCCCGTTCATCTGGAATGTCTTCTATGCCGAGTTGAGGTAGCTGTTGCGAGTTGTGTTTGTGCATAATCGTCCGCATGAGGGTGCCATGCAGTGATGCGACAGCAGCAGGCCATTGCAGTTGCAGCACGAATAAGTCTCCATGTAGCATGAAAAAAGACGTGGTAAACACTGCGCCAAGACCCTACGCAGGGCCCCACAAAAGAATAACTCAAACCATCCAGACGTCTCACGCAACCACTGAAACCATGAACCATCGAGACCACGATCGAGCAGGACTGCGCGGAACCACGATGTTGTTGCCAAGAGGGGATCCCTCTACTTCAACCATGTGTTATGGTGAATGCTTGGGTGTTCCGAGAGTTTCAGTCCATGTTCCTCTAGGACCATCGGAAAGAAGGACAACCACAGTTCCTTGTCCACATACAAGTTGGACAAAGCTTTAGGGTCAAGGCAGGACAGTCAATGAATTTCTGGCACATGCTCAAGATCCACCTGTGACAAACGCCAGATCGTCCCGGGCTTTGTTGAGGGACAAAGGAGTTCTCGACGAGCAGCACTCTGTCTTCGCAGCAAGTGACCAAAATACCCATAAGCGGTGAAGCCATGGCACAGTCCACACCTAGATCTACAAAAGGCTCACAGTATGTCATCCTTAAGTCGGAACCATCGAAACCTGGCCTGGCCTCACGGTATTTCGAAGACAGCGGGAAATGCGCACCTCGCCAGCCGAGAACGACAAGCTTCGTGCGTCGATCTCGCTTGGAAAGGGTTACTGCGTCCCCGACTTCCCATTGCGGGCCGAAGACAAGGCAGCACCTTGGAGGTATCAGGAATGGAGCGAGGCAGAAAGCTGCTCCCAACCCGCCTCAGGATGGCCAACAGCACCTTACGCATCAACTGAGTTCACAGCCGGTGTAGGCGGTGCAGTCTCGGGGGGAGGATCCTGCAAGTGGTCTCAACCCATGATGTGATCCCTTGAGTGGAGCGCTTGATGTTGAGTTGAAGCCCAGTTGAAGGACCAAGCCTATGCCAGCACCGCAGAATAGTCTGGAAAGTCGTTTAAGAACCGCTGCCCCAGTCTTCATGCGGTCTTCTATTCTACTGATCCGGCGGTGTCGAAACCCCAAGAGCTGTACGCTGCACGCTGCGACGGTCACCCCACAGTCCGTATTCAAGACCTTCAACACCACAATGGCCCCTGCGATTGCAGGTAGGACTGCAGCATCCGGCTTCATTCTGCCTCTGAGACTCTGGCCGTTGAGCCCGAGGCCGTGGTGGTCAGACAACACATGCGTAAGAAAGGCATAGTCCTCGCAGCATTGGCTTAAGCGTGGTCGGCATTCCCAAGAAGACCCCGCCTTTCTTACTTCAAATCTCCAGAGTCCACATGAACCCACGCTCCTCCGCATCGAACCGTCTGGCGGACTTGATCAGCAATAGCAATATGCCTGTCAGGCACAAAACATTTTCAATCGCTGGCATCCATCCAAAGCATAAGGGAAGGCATGCCACAAGCTTCCTACGCACATGGTACATGCCGAACGGTACATGTCTCTACCGACGTGCACACGAAACCTCCAGCGCCACAAGCAAGGAGCTGCCGGTGCCGGAGGTCCTCGCATCAGGACAACACACAAAGCATATTTGCCGCCTTGCAAAGGTCTATGGCTATGCCTGGTGGACCAAATGAATATAAGTAGTAGCCCTATACCCTTATACTATGAATCCCTATAAGGTATATGGTTCATGAGCCTTCAACTGGAGTCTCACATCGTGCCTCCACCGGATCTGGAAGCTCCAGCTCGCCGGGAAAGGCCAGGCCCTAAGGAAAGCAAAAAGGTAGCAAGATACAGGTCGGTCTTGCTGGGTTTCAATTTGTAATTGCTTCTGCGACTTGCCTGGTGAGAGATTCCGCGATATTCCGCGTCTGGCGTGGCTCTACTCCGCCTGAACACGCGTTTACTCCATTGGCGCCTGCTGGCTCTGAGCCCGCGGTCAGCCGGTCCGTCATACGCCGGGTGGCGTGGGTATGATGCTAGAG